GAATAAGCTTTTAATTTTATAAGAAAAGTATATTGACTAATTTTATTTAGTTTTGAACATTTGTAATGTACTTTATTTATACATGAACTATATTATATGTTTGTACATTTGGAAAGTATATGTATTTAATTTAGATTATTAATGTTTAATTGAAAAGGGGCATTTGTATGTTTTTTGTTATTGATACTCAGTAAAACTATTTCCTGAAGAACGACCTATGAAGTCATGAAATCAGTAGAAGAAACGAATAAAAGAAAGGGAAAAAAAGTCTGATATTTCAATGTTCTTTTATTTGTATCCACAGGTGAATCTTATTGATGTTTTGGTTATAAGAATCCTTTCTTTGTTCATGCTTAATTACCTAAGTTTTTTTTTATATATTTCTTGTAATAATAATCAATTTAATTGTAATAGGAAGTGTACCTGGTATCAGTGACTTTACAATTAAATTCAAAAGATTGAGAAATAAACTTTTAGCACAAGCATGTCAGTGCATCACCTCTAGTGGCAATTATGGTTGGAAACAAAAGATATAATGATTAGACATATCTTTAAGAAGTTATCTTTTCAAGTCAGAACTTCAGACAATTTACTTCTACAGAACAATGGGAACTTCAACTCATGACTATTCCAAGACATCAATGAAATTCAAATCATAAAGTTTTCCCTTTTATTATTTTCAAAGTAAAGATTGAACAGTTTTACTTATATGCTATCAGTCTATTCTCTATTTTAAACAACTTTTTTCTGTATTTCCACTTGAAAGAGGAGCTTAAATAAAAAGAACTAAATTCTACTACATTCCAATTTTTTATCTTATCCTTCTCATTGCCTTTGTAATCAACTTTGTATTTGTAATGATTAAAAATATGAAAAAGTGAAACACTTAATTGTGTTAGCTTATGTTTCAGCTCACTTCAATATCTCTGTGAAGCTTGAATTAAGAGTGCTGTCTGCTACTATGCAATGTACATACAGATGCATTTTTATAAACATTAGTAAATAGTTCCTTTCATTCTTACTAAATGTTGATTGTTGTTTATTATTATACACAAAGGGCTATCTGTGCTCTGCCCACCACGAGTATCAAACCTGGTTTCTAGCAGTATAAGTCCGCAGATACTAAGTGTTAAAATACTTCATTCTATTGAAGCTAAACATGGATTACGTTTGTTATGTTTCAATGATAGTTGGAAGATCACTTCAGTTTGTCCTGAGAGCTCTTACAAGTAGTATTTTGACTGTTTATGATTCATGAAAGAAAAATATTGTCTGAATAATTATATGTTAAACACTAATATTTAATAATTAGATGCAGCGCAACATTTAAGAACAAGTAAAGAATGGTGTTAAAATGACGTGTCAAGTTTTAAACTACACAACATACACCTTAAGAAACAAAACACACAATACAAGTGGTTTTCAAAAAAATAAATGTGAAGTCCAATTTATCAATTGATTTACCACCTGTCATTGAGTTATACTGGTTTGGGGGAATTCCACCCCTAAACAGTAACCCTGTATATGGGAAAGAATAAGAATAAGCTTCATACAGAAGTGGAAGGTATATATATATGGTGTTTTGAGATGTCTTTTACTTACACATTCATTCTATATTAATATAGAAATTTCAAGAATATCCAACACTGATGCTACTAACTTATTCTGGTGTTTTTGTTACAAACCTCTAAACCTAAAGATAACAATAATGTTAAAATGCATTACCTAACTGAATAGCTTAACTAAAAACACTCCAAGTAGACCAAAGAAGTCTGTATTATCTTAATCTTGAAGATAAACTTTTCCTTTAATTAGTTTACTGTTCATAGCATAAATAAGAATTTTACTACACATAATTTTAGTTTATTCTGAATTAAAAAGTTTTTGCATTCAAGTAAAACAGTGATGTAACAGCTTTGATTAATCATTGCTTTAAAAGTATTATGACAAGTCATGAAACGATACCCTTGTTACTCCTACTGTGGCTTAAGAAAAAGTACACCAAACCAATTTAAGAATTCCATTGCTATGTCAAGGCATACTTATTCTATCTTTAAGTAGTTACTTTTAGTTACCAGAATTTAATTTAAGTAAATTATGAATAGCCTCCTTTTTCCTAAATTGCTGGAAAAATTAAAGACAACTTGGGAGGGAATAAAAGAACAATCTTAGGAAAGAATTGAAGAAATAATACACATTATTATGGTTTGGCTAAGACTTCAAAATTATCAAAGAGAAAAATATTATATTTACTTTTTGTGAAATGAATGAAAGTAGAGGTCTTTCAAAATTGTTCAGAATTTTATTAAGATGGAAATGTTGCTCTCAGAAATTGGAAAACACAAGTCAACTAACTTAAGTATTTAGAATAGAAAATTTTCCTAGAATTCACACTTGCAACAAAAAGTAATGCTCATGTTAAAACTAAGTACTTGTAAACTGTGATGATCATTTCTTATGCAATTTTTACTTACGACTCATGTTAAGCTATTGTTGTAATTATTTAAGAAAATCTCTAAACATCACACATCATGCCAAAAATCCATTTAGGAAACAACAGAAAACATATATATATTAAAATATAGTACACAACACTATTACCCATCATCTAGAAAGAATGACAAACATCATAGTGTCCATATAAAGAATTACTTTTTAAGAAACAGTTCAATTTTGTGTTACCTGAATATTATTAATAGGGAATAACTTCACTGGGTTTGACTTTTTTTTATGACAAACAGATATCTTATGTATGGAAAGAACATTACACTAACTTATAGTAAACTGACAAACAATGGTTTATAAGCATAATGATGTGGTTATATTTTTGGAGAACATACATGTTTCAAAAATACATTGGTCTGTCTCATTCTATATGAAAAAGGAGAAGAAAAACAACCAATGTTTTGTCGAGACATGTAGTATGTTCTCCAAAAATAAAACCATTTCATTAAGCTTATAAGTCATTGTCTGTCAGTTTACTAAAATATGGTTATCAAGCATTGATAATTTTACATTATTTTGGTTTTGTACTATTAACTTTGGTACATGCTAATTTTTTAGCCTGAACCTCTGAAAACAAATATTAGTTGTTTACCATTTAAGATTTCATTCACAGTGCCTGTAGCTCTTACCCTTAAACATGCCACAGTTTCTGAATTTGAGCCTTTTAATAATTTTTGATCACTTATAAAGAGCCAAAACTATTATCTAGTTACAAAGTGAACTTTTCTTCAGACAGAACACAAGATTTTCATTTCAGTTTGTAATTAAGAAGGAAATTTCTATGTTTCAGTTTGAGTATACCTCTAAAAATACTTCACAAAATGGGAACAAAATATAATACTGATACAAATTTTAGTAAGAAAGGAGCACGTATTCATGGTAAAATAGTATTTCAAACATATGATATAGGATTACTATTAATGATGACTTCTCTTATTTTCTCATGAATTTAATTTTTCTGTACTTTTCTATATGATGGGCAAATAAAGTGAAGTATGGAAAGTTGTAGTGATGAAAAATGTTATTCCTAGGTAGTTGATGCAACTCATATATCAGTCTTTTTATTACTCTTAATAACTAAGGTTCAATTCTAGCAGCCTTTTAAGATGCTGTATATCTTTCTCAGACCAGTTTCTGTCACAAAAAGCAAAATTTATTTATTTTTTTAATATTTATTTAATATTTATAATTTTAAATATTTATTAATATTT